AGTCTTAACACTGAGTCAGCGTTCGCCGTCTCTCACAGTATCTGTTATTCCTCAGCTCTTGAAATCTGTCGGAAAGCAGGCCAGCAGGGAGGATGGGAAAAGAGAGGGGGAGCCTGCAGCCTGTCCCTGCCTGCATCACGGGGACCAGTTCAGGTCAGCGGGAGTGGACGGGGGCTGGCCCGAGGCCGAGGATGAGCCTTGGAACTTTAGGACCCAGCAGGCCTCTGGGGGCAGAGGAAGGTGGGTGACCACCAGGCCCAGTTTTCCAGGGTTTTCAGCAGCAGTGTCGCAACCTGATGGCCAGTCTTTGTCTCAGGTTGTCTCAGGATGATGACTTTCATCCAGAAAGACCTGAACCAAAGACAGATGAGGGGGAGCGGGAGCAGGTTGCGGCTTGCACCTGCCCTCCTCAGGGTGCTGTTTCGATGGCCGTGGCTCCTCAGCAGAGGGTCCAGTCTCGTCCTGGGCGGTCACTGGGGCCTCATGCCTGCTGCTGAGGACAGAGCCTGGCTAAGCTGCTTGTGTGATTCTGCAGCGGCCAGGTTTGGGTCTGTTAATGTGGCATAGTGGATTACACCATGACTGCCTTATCCCAGAGTCACTGTGTTTCACTATTAGAAAATGCGGCGTCCTGTTTGCATAGAGAAGAAATTTAATGTGGAATCTATTTAGGTTTTAGACAGTGATTCCTAGGCCGGCGCCGCGGCTCACTTGGCTAATCCTCCACCTGCGGCGCTGGCACTCCGGGTTGTGGGGAGCAATCCGGACTAGACTAAGTTACTCGAATTAAGACTTATTCTATGCATCTGCTCTCCCACAATATGGCGCTGGGAGAGAAGTAAACAGCTTCTGCACAGCTGCCTCCAGTTCAACTAATAAACTGTAGGACTTGCTCCTGATTGGAGGAGAGCAGCGTACTCGGCGTGTGGGCAGCCGAGTTGGGATTGGCGGAGGAGGACTGTAAAGGAGGAGAGAGACGGCATGCACCAGGAACATCTATGGGGAACATCTAAGGGAACCCGTGCAGCCCCCGAGAAAGCCGGCCGGCGGTGTGCCGCTCCCCTGCGGAAGTGGGGAATGTGGCCAGGGGGAACTGCCCTTCCACGGAGGTGGAAGGGATAGTAGCCAACCCGGGAAGAACCAGCAGCAAACCCGGGGAGGGCCGAGCAGACGAAAGAACAGCGCAGGGTTCAGTGTCGTTCCTCCACGAAGAGGGGGAGCGACACCGGGTTCTAGTCCCGGTTGGGCCGCCGGTTCTGTCCTGGTTGCTCCTCTTCTAGTCCAGCTCTCTGCTGTGGCCCAGGAGTGCAGTGGAGGATGGCCCAAGAGCTTGGGCCCTGCACCCACATGGGAGACCAGGAGGAAGCACCTGGCTCCTGGCTTCGGATTGGCACAGCACACTGGCCATAGCGGCCATTTGGGGGGTGAACCAATGGAAGGAAGACCTTTCTCTCTGTCTCTCTCTCACTGTCTAACTCTGCCTGTCAAAAAAAAAAAAAAAAAAAGCGATTCCCATGTTGTTCTTCCAGGTTAGAAAGTAAAACCCTGGTGTAGTACAGCCATGGATGATTCCACAGTTCCTCCGATCCGTGTGTATTAAATGACTGATACCTCACAGGCCACGTGCATGGTGCTGGGGATACCACGGATGAGGCCCGGCCGGTGTCTGTCTTACCCATAAGATGGGGGTCACGGTCCAGTGTGGAGGTGCACTTCTCGACTCTGACCTCAGGCAGCCCTGAGCTTGCCAGCCCCCTGGGGTCGGGACGAACAGGCAGCAGTTCAGCAGACGATGGGAGCCAGGGAAAGGAGGCCTACCTGAAGGACCGCAGAGCCGGCTGCACCAGCCAGATGATGGATAGCACTGGGAGAAGCAAACAACCGCTGCCGTGGCAGCTGCTGCTCCTGCCACACGGCCCATGGGCAGGACCGACAGGGGGCGCTGCGGAGCGTGAGCAGCGGGGAGCACCTGCAGAGGGTTCTCGTCATCACAGTGGGTTCACCGGTGCTTGAGAAGGGGCCAGCACATCCACTCAGAGCCCGCTGTGCTGCTCCAGTGCAGTGCGCGAGACTGTACTCAGGAGGTAAGGCGTGGTTGGTGAGCGCTCTCATTTCTCAGGGAGCAGGGACTCGTCTTGAGTCCCTTTGTTGTCATCAGAAGCCGTGGGTCCCAGACCCTCAGAGTGAACGACCACGGCAGGGGACTGCAGTTAATCATGCTCGCTGCCGAATCCCCCGGACCCAGCAGAGAGTCAGGCTGTGGACCTCGGTGGTGTTGTCTGTTCCACCCAGTACAGTGCCCTTCCACTGTTCAGGAAATGGCTCACCTTAGGAGCCAGGAAACACATTTCTCTGGGCTCTCTTGCAGCTAAGAAAGGCATGTGACCCGGCTCCAGCACCCAGGTGCACTCAGAGGAGATAGCCACGTGGAAATGAACAGAACAAGAGCACAAGCTTTTCTCCAATTCGGTTTTTCTAGCAAGCGTGACAGCTGAAGTGCGGGGCTTTCTGCTCCAGGAAGCCTGCCCTGAGCACCTGCTGCTGTTCTCAGCTCGGCTGTGTTCAGCCGCCCTCCTCTAGGGCCACTTTTCTCATTGTACTTCCCCACTGTGTTATAATTTTTATTAAAAATATTTATTTGGGAAACTGTTACAGAGAGAGGGCAAGAGAGAGGGAGAGTGAGAAAGTAAGAGCAAGTGAGCTTCCATCCACTGCTTCACCGTCCAGATGACTACACAGCTGAGGCTGGGCCAGGCCGAAGCCAGGAGCCAGGAGCTCCATCTGGGTCTTCCCCGTGGGTGTAGGTGGCGGGGGCCCAGGTATTGGTCCACCTGCTGTTGCTTTCCCAGGTGCATTAGCACGGAGCTGAACTGGAAGTGGAGCAGCTTGGACCTAACTTGCTTATAAGGGATGCCAGCGTTGCAAGTGGCGGCTTAACCCACCACACCACAACGCTGGCCCTTCATTGTGTTGCAATTTTTAGCTTCTTGCTAGGTGTGCTCTGATAGGTAAGATAGGGGTCATAACAAAGAAACCCAAAATATACAGTGGGTCAAACGTGGTGCAAGTTTCTATCCTAATCACACAAAGTCAGCACACAGCAGCGCTTAGCGTGAACAGAAGCTCTCTTGTGGTTCCACCCTTTGTACACGTGGCCTGCGAGGCTGCCAGATACCGGCAGCATGGAGAATCAGGTCCTGAGGGCGTAGGAGCACGGCCTGGAGTGACGCTTAGCACTGCCGCGTGTGTTCATGGGCTGACGCTCAGCTGTGAAACGCAGTGTGGCTGTTGGTAGCCTCCTCCAGGGAGGAGTGTGTGGACACTGGCAAGGGACGCCAGGTGCCGTGCCTCGACTTCCCCTCTTCTTCCTCGGCTGGGAAAAGCATGTGGAGATAACTAGCCTAAGCTGCCCCCCCCGACAGAAATGCGGAGGTTGCTATAGTAACCCCGTGCCTGTCTCTCCAAGGCTGCTTTGCCAAGCATTTCTGTTTGGGGGCACAGATTCATTGAGTGGTTATTTCCCATGCTCGGCCTGACACCGCGTCTGTGTCCAGGCTCCCCGTGTCTGTGTGAGCGGGGGCCTGGGCCAGGCTCCCCGTGTCTGTGTGAGTGGGGGCCTGGGCCAGGCTCCCCGTGTCTGTGTGAGTGCAGGCCTGGGCCAGGTCTCCAGTGTCTGTGAGTGGGGGCCTGGGCCAGGCTCCCCGTGTCTGTGTGAGTGGGGGCCTAGGCCAGGCTCCCCGTGTCTGTGTGAGTGCAGGCCTGGGCCAGGCTCCCCGTGTCTGTGTGAGTGGGGGCCTGGGCCAGGCTCCCCGTGTCTGTGTGAGAGTGGGCCCGGGCCAGGTCTCCAGTGTCTGTGTGCCGTTCTGGGCCAGGCTCCTGTGTCTGTGTGAGTGCCGTCCTGGGCCAGGCTCCTGTGTCTGTGTGAGTGCCGTCCTGGGCCAGGCTCCCCGTGTCTGTGTGAGTGCCATCCTGGGCCAGGTCTCCAGTGTCTGTGTGAGTGGGGGCCTGGGCCAGGCTGCCCGTGTCTGTGTGGGCGCAGGCCTGGGCCAGGCTCCCCATGTCTGTGTGAGTGGGGGCCTGGGCCAGGCTCCCCGTGTCTGTGTGAGTGCCGTCCTGGGCCAGGCTCCTGTGTCTGTGTGAGTGGGGGCCTGGGCCAGGTCTCCTGTGTCTGTGTGAGTGGGGGCCCGGGCCAGGTCTCCAGTGTCTGTGAGAGTGGGCCCGGGCCAGGCTCCTGTGTCTGTGTGAGTGGGGGCCTAGGCCAGACTCCTAGTGTCTGTGTGAGTGGGGGCCTAGGCCAGGCTCCCCGTGTCTGTGTGAGTGGGGGCCTAGGCCAGGCTCCCCGTGTCTGTGTGAGTGCAGTCCTGGGCCAGGTCTCCAGTGTCTGTGTGCCGTTCTGGGCCAGGCTCCCCGTGTCTGTGTGAGTGGGGGCCTGGGCCAGGCTCCCCGTGTCTGTGTGAGTGCCGTCCTGGGCCAGGCTCCTGTGTCTGTGTGAGTGGGGGCCCGGGCCAGGTCTCCTGTGTCTGTGTGAGTGGGGGCCCGGGCCAGGTCTCCTGTGTCTGTGTGAGTGGGGGCCCGGGCCAGGTCTCCAGTGTCTGTGAGAGTGGGCCCGGGCCAGGCTCCTGTGTCTGTGTGAGTGGGGGCCTGGGCCAGGCTCCCCGTGTCTGTGTGAGTGCCGTCCTGGGCCAGGCTCCCCGTGTCTGTGTGAGTGGGGGCCTAGGCCAGGCTCCCCGTGTCTGTGTGGGCGCGGGCCTGGGCCAGGCTCCCCGTGTCTGTGTGAGTGCCGTCCTGGGCCAGGCTCCTGTGTCTGTGTGAGTGGGGGCCTAGGCCAGGCTCCCCGTGTCTGTGTGGGCGAGGGCCTGGGCCAGGCTCCTGTGTCTGTGTGAGTGGGGGCCTGGGCTCCATGTGGGTTCTGAAGGGTCGGAGGCTCTGAGCGCGGCCGGTCGGCCACTCCAGGCCAGTGGCTGAGATGTCTTTGTTTTCTCTGTTTCTCCTGGATGCAGGTGCCTTCTCCGTGGCCGGGGAGAGCTGGGAATACGACTGCGGAGCCAGGGAGCTGCAGAGCCTGGACTTGCAGAGTCAGTCTGCCCTGCAGAAGCCTCTGGAGTGGGGCGGACACCCTGTGCCCCAGCAGGCGGCCTTCCTCAGGCTGCGGGCGCAGGCCCCGCCCTCGCGCGGAAGCTGCGCAGAGCTGGCCAACACGGTGAGTACTGGTTGGTTCACGGACCGCGTCTGTAGGCTCGTGTGTATTACGCTGCGAGTGTTCACCCCTGAGCTCCAGGGGGTCAGTCGGGTACTGCGTTTTTTATTGAGCTACACATTGTCCCCTTCCAGCACCGCCAGTAACGTTAAGTGCCCCAAAGTGACGGGCTTCCTTCCCGTCACTAAGGCAGAGTGGACATCCACAAGGTGTTGTAGGCGAAGTCTGTAGCTCGTTCACACTTACTTACTGGAGTTACCCTCGGCAGCTTCCCATCACAGGGGAATCCCCGCGGCCCCAGACATTGCAAGCTGGTAGGAGCTTCTTCTTTCTGTGCCCCAATGTGGACTTTACTCACTTGAGAAACAAAAAGGAAAAGTTTCGTTATTGTTCCTGTTGACACTTGGGAAGTATTTTCTGTTGGGACGACTTAGGATTTGATTGAACCTTGCCTTTTGTCTTGAGAGGGGTCACTACTCCAGACGGGTGGTGTTTGGGGCTGGTGGCCTGGCCATTTTGGGGGAGCGTGGACAGTGTATAAGTTGACCGCTGTAGGAGCGGCCGGAACACCTGTCTGGGTCTTTGGAATTGCAGTATGCGCAGCCGAATGAGCCTCTGGGCAGCCTTGGCTTCTGGGAGTTACTGCCTGCTGTCGCAGAGACCGGAGCTTGGCAGACTTTATACTGGACACACATTTTCAATTCTGACATTTGTTGAGGTATTTGAAGAAACTCATATTCCCAAATATGCTAGCAATAATTAAAATACAATAATCAGCCGGCACCGCAGCTCACTAGGCTAATCCTCCACCTGCGGCGCTGGCACCCTGGGTTCTAGTCTCAGTCCCTCCTCTTCCAGTCCAGCTCTCTGCTGTGGCCCGGGAAGGCAGTGGAGGATGGCCCACGTGCTTGGGCCCTGCACCCGCATGGGAGATCAGGAGGAAGCACCTGGCTTCTGGCTTCAGATCGGTGCAGCGCACCGGTCGCAACACACCGGTTGCAATGCACTGGCCGTAGTGGCCACTTAGGGATTGAACTAACGGAAAAAGGAAGGCCTTTCTCTCTCTCTCTCTCTCTCTCTCTCTCTCACTGTCTAACTCTGCCTGTCAAAAAGTTTTTTTAAAAAAGGGTCATTAGGCAACAGACTAAGAAAACCCAGATAAAGTGAGGGCTTCAGTTGTAACCATGTGTCAGCACTGCTTCATTAATTGACGAGTAAACCATGATAACATAAGATCCTAAAAAACAGGGAAAACTGGGGTATCTGAGAACTCTGTTCTACCTTTGAAACTTTTCTGTAAATCTAAAGCTATTATAAAACAGAAAATTACCAAAAACACATATGGGGCAGGCACCTGGTGCAGCGGTTCAGACACCACTTGTAATATCCATAGCGGAGTGCCTGGTTCAAGGCCCATGTGTTCCACTTTCCACCCAGCTCCCTGCTGCTCACATCCTGGCAGGCGGCAGGTTATGGCTAATGTGCTGGGATCCCTGCCCTGCATGGGGGACTCAGAGCTCCTGGCTCCTGGCTTCAGCCTGCCCCACCCCTGACTGTTGTGGCCCTCTGGGGAGTGAACCTGTGTTTGCTAGATTCTCTCTGTCTGTGTCTCTCTCTCTCTCTCTCTCTCTCTCTCTCTCTCTCTCCCGTGTGTGTGTGTGTGTGTGTGTGTCTGCTTTTCAAATAAAATGAAAAGAAGCAAATAATTTAAAAACAAGAAACCACATAGACCTCCCTGCTAGGAGGCGATGGTATCTCGCAGAGCCTGTGAAGGCATCCTTGGTCAGTGCACTGTCCCCGCGTGGCCTCCAGGGCCGTTCCTGCTGCGCCGAGCGGAGAGCTGTCGCCGCCCTCCTCTCCTGTGCTCGGGAGCCGGGGCAGTATCTGCACACGTCCTCTCTCGGGCACCTGGACTTCGGCGCTCTACTTCATCAGCTGATTCTCCGTCAGAACGGACAGTGAAAACCGAAACCGCTGTTACCCACTGGTGAGGGTCACCTGCTGTGGAGGGTTCAGGTTCAAAGCCTGCTGGTGTCTTCCGCAAAGTCTGCAGGGGCGCTGCTTCCTGCCTCTCGTGGCTTTGTTCTTTAACATCTCCAGTGAGCTCCTGCGCTGATTTATTTATTTATGTCTTCCTTCCTTTCTTTCTGTATTTAATTTGTTTATTTATTTCAAAGGCAGAGTGACAGAGAAAGAGGGAAACACCCCCCCACACACTTACACAGAGACACGAGGCGGGGGCGGGTTTCCATCTGTTGGCTCGTTCTCCAAATGAGTGCAATAGCCAGGTCTGGGTAGGCTGACGCCAGGAGCCAGGAACTCCATCCAAGCCTCCCACATGGCAGGAGTCCAAGCACTTAGGCCATCTTCTGCTGCTTTCCCAGGCACGTTTGCAGGGAACTGGATCAGAATCAGAGCAGCCAGGGGCTGCTGGCTTTGCTGGCCACTTAACCTGCTGCACCAGACCCCCATCTCTTGTCTTACCACAAATGGAGGTCAACACTTGGCCTTATTTCTGCTCATGGGGGAGCTTGAGGAAGTAGGCATTTGTGTTACTGCTTAAAGAAACAGGAGAAAAAGCTCTCAATGCGCAGTGCCCACGTTCCTTGGAGACAATCACGTGAACTACTGTGGCGTGAATGTATTGCAATTAGTACTTCTTGAGCATGTGTAATTCTGAAGTGTTTTCTGTGACCAAAAGAAGAAATTTGAGACTTGTGCATTTGCTGCATCCAGTGGCAACTCTTGTCTCTGAGCCATTGTGTTGTCATGTGGTCTCTGTGTGTGGTTTGGTTGTCCTCGGAGCTCATGGCGAGCTGTGGTTGTGTTGTCATGTGGTCTCTGTGTGTGGTTTGGTTGTCCTCGGAGCTCATGGCGAGCTGTGGTTGTGTTGTCGTGTGGTCTCCGTGTGTTGTTTGGTTGTCCTTGGAGCTCATGGTGAGCTGTGGTTGTGTTGTGTGTCTCTGTGTGTTGTTTGCTTGGCCTCGGAGCTCATAGCGAGCTGTGGTTGTGTTGTCGTGTGGTCTCTGTGTGTTGTTTGTTTGGCCTCAGAGCTCATGGCGAGCTGTGGTTGTGTTGTCGTGTGTCTCTGTGTGTTGTTTGGTTGTCCTTGGAGCTCATGGCGAGTTGTAGTTGTGTTGTCGTGTGGTCTCTGTGTGTTGTTTGCTTGGCCTCAGAGCTCATGGCGAGCTGTGGTTGTGTTGTCATGTGGTCTCTGTGTGTTGTTTGCTTGGCCTCGGAGCTCATGGTGAGCTGTGGTTGTGTGGTTGTGTTATCGTGTGGTCTCTGTGTGTTGTTTGGTTGTCCTTGGAGCTCATGATGAGCTGTAGTTGTGTTGTTGTGTGGTCTCTGTGTGTTGTTTGCTTGACCTCGGAGCTCATGGTGAGCTGTGGTTGTGTTGTCATGTGTCTCTGTGTGTTGTTTGCTTGGCCTTGGAGCTCATGGCGGAGGGCAGTGTGGGAAGCTGCCCACTGGGGCGTGGCATGTGGGTGTATAGGGCAAAACCCATTGAGAAGTCCCCAAAATGGCACCATTGAAGCTTAGCACCTTGGCCTTGCCCTTGCAAAGCGGGAGGGAAGAGTGCCAGCCACAGAGCAAGGGGAATCCTCTTCCTCCTTGGTGTCCCTCCAGCGCCGTCTGCTGGCAGGAGAAATGTTGGCAGGGTCCAGCTCCACTCGCACCAAACAGAACAAGAAAGGCAGACTTGGGCGTGGACAACAGACTGATAACAAGGACAGGTAGTTTTGGTAATGAGGGGCTTCTGGTAGCTTCCCTATTTACTTACTTACTTACTTGAAAGTCCAGGATGAGAGAGAGGCAGAAAAAGTCTCGCATGTGCCGATTCACTGGAGCCAGGAATGGAGCCAGGAACCATTTAGGTCCCCGGTATGATCTCTGGTGGCAGGGACCCAAGCACTTGGCCATCATCTACTGCGTCCTGGTACGTTAGCCGGGAGCTGGATCAGAAGCGGCACCGCCAGGACGCGAATTAGGCTCTCTGATAGGATTGGTGGGTATCCGAAGGGGCCACTTAACCACTGCGCTACAGGGCCTGCAGCACCATTTACCTTTCTCCTTTTCTTAAAGGTTTATTTATTTATTTGAAAAACAGAGTTAGAGAGAGAGAGGGAGACACAGAGATCTTCCATCTGCTGCCTCACTCTCCAGATGGCCTCAGATGGTGCGGGGTGGGAGGGAGGGGTGAAGGAAGGAAGCTGGGCCAGGTCTGAGACAGGAGCCTGAAACTCTATCCAGATCTCCCATACCCAAGCGCTCTCCCAGGCCCATTAATAGAGAGTGGGATCAGAAGTGGAGCAACCAGGACTCAAACGGGCACTCATATGGGATGCTGGCATCCAAGATGGTGGCTTAACCTGCAGCACCACAATGCTGGCCCCCAACAAATTAATAATAATAATAATAAACCTTTCTTTTAAAAATTATGTCATGGAATTGGGACATTACAAATAAAATATTGGAGTTTTTAAGTAAAGGGCTAAGGAAATAAGGTCTAGAATATGGAGTTGATAAGCATTTCCAGGCCGGCGCTGTGGCTCACTAGGCTAATCCTCCGCCTTGCGGCGCCGGCACACCGGGTTCTAGTCCCAGTCGGGGCACCGGATTCTGTCCTGGTTGCCCCTCTTCCAGGCCAGCTCTCTGCTGTGGCCCAGGAGTGCAGTGGAGGATGGCCCAGGTGCTTGGGCCCTGCACCCGCATGGGAGACCAGGAGAAGCACCTGGCTCCTGCCATCGGATCAGCGCGGTGCGCCGGCCACAGTACACCGGCCATGGTGGCCATTGGAGGGTGAACCAACGGCAAAAGGAAGACCTTTCTCTCTCTGTCTCTCTCTCTCTCACTGTCCACTCTGCCTGTCAAAAAAAAAGAAGAAGAAGAAGAAGAAGAAGAAGAAGAAGAAGAAGAAGCAGCAGCAGCAGCAGCAGCAGCAGCAGCAGCATTTCTAGACCTAGAATTGTCACTTCCAGATGACTGAGTGATGGAGAAAG